TTATATCGCCGATTTTTCCGATTAAATTTGAAACATAAATATCGTGCGCTTTGCAGAATGGCAGTTCAATGCTTTATAGATCATCAAAGGCACGTGTTTTTGCCGCGTTTTATTATACATATCACTTTGGAGGTAAGTGTTGCAGTGAAGAACTACTTAAAATAAAATTTTAATATAATTTGATTATTATGATTACCATGCGCGTATGATGACCCTCGTTGCTTACGAGCGCGTAGTTGAATATCATGAAGAAAGTTTTTAAACTTTGTTACAGTCATTTAAGTTTGTGACCCATTTTTTATTGTATAACTTTGTATTAACTGTAAGACGGATGACATGATTCCAAAGTTTCTCGTGATCTTCTTAATTTTTAGTTACGGTGTTGTCCTCCCAGCTTATTGCTCTTATAAAGCCTTGAATTCCGATAATGAGAGAGATATAAGGAAATGGCTCTCTTATTGGATCGTATTTATGCTCTTTATCGAGATCCGAGGGTTTACAGATATTTTTATCGGTATGTGGCTTCCTTTCTACGACGAGTTAGTAGTGCTCATTCTGGTTTGGATAGCTTCTCCTTATAACACCAGCAGTAAATTCCTCTACGAAACTTACCTGGAACCACTTATAAAAAAATATGAGCAACAAATTGATGCTTTCTTTGGTAAAATCATGAACGAAATAATGCAGTTTTTTATTCGGGTTGTTACTGATACACTGATTTATATCACCTCCAAGATTATGTTGATTTTCAAGGAAAAGGGAGAAGTCATTATGAATTGCACTGATTTCTCGAGCGATTTTGGACCTGATCACCACGAGAAAGGTTCAAAATATTATAATAAAGAGGAAAGAGTTAATAAGGTTAGAAAAACCAAGGTCAGTGGGAAAGAGCAGATAACTGAACCTACAGGTATGGATGACTCATTTAATAAAGTATGCCGAATGGACACTGCTCTACATGGAAAAGTATGCAAGTACAATAAATCATATAAGAAATTAATGTTAGCGAGTAACAAGCCACGTGGCAAAGCTCATCCATATATGTGATATAAATTATCTCAGGTGGTTCGAAATTATCACATTAAAAAGCATGTGAGGAATGATAAATAACGATGTGTAATAAAATTTTAGAGACATGATATAGTCAAAATTAAATAATAAGTTTCCATGGTTCCATTCTAGGTGTTTCCGAAGTGAAAGTTTAAAAGTTTTAACAGCTACTGGCAAATATGATGCATGTATAGATTAAGTAATTACTTAAATTATAAAGTAATACAAAATATAATTTTTTTAATAAATCAATATATATTTGAATAATGAATAAAATATTTTTTTTAAGTATAGAATATGTTGTAGACTCTAAAAATGCTACGCTGGTACTTCATTAACAGATCGCTCATAATTATTTTAACACATAACACTTTTCGTTCTGTATGTTATACCTTCAAATGGCTACGATATTTTATGCTTTTCAAAAACAAAATTTGGTACTTTTCCGTTTTGCCGGCGCAAGCGATAAAGTCGCCAGTAATGGTATAGCCGATGCCAAACGGAATATTCTCGCTGGTAACCTTTTACGCCTCATTCAGATAGTTCAGTTTTATGTCTAAGACCATTTTCGGCAATTAAATCAATTAAGATGCAATCACAGCGCTTACCCGAAGCCGAAAATATAGAAAGGTAAAGTCAAGGGTTAAAATTCCTCAATTCTAATGAGATGCATTAGCGAAGCAAAGCACTGCAGTTTACATAATTCTGAGTAAGCTATTCGTACGAATTGAAGTATTTCTTGCATTTAAACTTGTGTTCCAAATTAAGATTTAACTTGAAATTAATGTAGAAATTCCTGAGAGCATTATATTTTTGTAATAGTATACGTGAGATGAGATCGCTTGGGGTCACGTGATATGAACCGGCGAAAACAGGATGTTGAACCATGAAAGCATAGTAAATTCTTAAATTAATGTCTTTTTATAAGTTTATTGTATTTATTTATTGGCTTTTTATAAAATTTTAAGCGATATTAAAATGTTTATGCCTTCAAAAAAAGAATTCTTAGGACTAACATTTTTTTAATATTTTTTGTGTGTATAATGTATGTTGTCGCCAATAAAGTCTGCTGTGGCGAGATTTGCGCCGGCGAAACGGAAAAGTACCCAAAATTTTTAAAGAAGGCCGGCCCTCATTTAAGAAATATAGCCACAGAAAATATGTTTTACCACATTGTCTGATAACCAGTGTTAATATTGACAGCATATCCAAAAATACCCGACCAGCTGGAAATATTTGCCGATTGTGATGAAACGTGATAAGAAGAATGAAGAAGAAATGATGCAGGAATAATAGGATACTAACGGTCCATTATCACTCAATTTATTTAAGAAATATGCCCGGATCAATTGCATAATAGTATGTGATATATACAGCCAACTTAGAAAACAATGTATGAAGGCATTTGATTTCACATATAAAACACATCAAATACTGGTCTATAGAGTTTTCTGCCAGTATCTGTAATTACTCAGTAAATTAAAGCGCACTTTGAGAGTTGGCCGTAATCAGCGTTTAATGCATTCTACATATATTTGAGTTTGAAAACTTACAGAGATCTGGAAGACAAAAACATGGTTTTGACAGCATGCAAACTTTCTCTATTTGCATTTGTTTGTGCGACCGGGCATTATCTTGATAAAAAACTATTCCTCATCCAATGGAAGCGACGTCACTGAAACTATAAGTCACATCATCGTGCCTTTTAATTCCTGTTAATAAATTGTAAAGAGTTATCATTAAAAATAATCAAATATCGCAGAGAACAACTATCTAAAAGGTGAAGTGAGATGTCATGGAATTGTCTCATTTTTCAGTGGTATTAGGTTAGCAGAATTGGTGCTACTTTAGTAGACGGTTGCACGGATTTTTGGCGATTTACTTTGGCGCAATTGTTGGCGTAGTTTTTACAATCGTCAGCCATCTCGAAAAACGCTGTTTCTACGGTATATTGCGCATAAAGTATTCGCAACTTTAAAAAAATAAATATCGTTAAAAATAATGGATTAATTTCTTGTTGAAAACATTGATTTTTAAGATGGCAGGCAAATGTAAATAAAAACATTTACTACTAGTACTAAAGTAAGGTTAAATTTTTACTTTCATATAGCACAGAAATAGAATAAAAATACTGCTATAAACATGCGTCACGTTAATTGGATAAAAAATATGTAAATTGAATATCGAATTAAAACCTCGTACCAAACGTTTAAAAGAATTAATATTACTTAAATACTTTAAAATAAGGTAAATAAGAACTCTTTGTACACTAGAGCTAAAATGACAGCAATTAGTTTATTGCCGGTAAAAAAGGAGGAATGTCTAATACTTTTTTTACCGTTACAGCGGTTATTTCTTCCACCGTGACCACAATACCATATACGGCCGCCCTCAGAATCGGCTCTCATACCGATCTTCATCTGTGATCCACATTTCTTGCACTTCATTGAAGAAGAAGCAATTTGCGAGGTTTCCTCCAAAAAATTTAAATAAATTCCCTCTTGCCCTTGTAGCAATTTATAAATAAATCTTTGATTAGGAAAGCCAGACGTTGACCAAAATATGGTCTCAAAGGACAATTTTTTTTTTATTCCGATATCAATAATTCTTGGTACTTACCAATAGCAACATTAACCTTTGAAATGGACATATCCGTTTCCTATGAAATCTAAGGAATTCGAAGAGATGAATAATAAAATTTTAAAATGCCGCGGTAATGCAGAAATATTCAGTAACCAATCAGATAGCTGATTGCACCTCGTTAATGCACAAATATTCTGTAAGCAATCAGGGAGCAGATTACATCACGCCTAGAATTAAAATTATTTAAATAATCATACATAATAAAACCTTTTTTCAAAAAAAATGCAAAATTAAATTGTATTTCAATATTTAACATCCCTAAAAATGTTTAAAACATTAGATTAAATTTATAGGTATGAAAACCAATTACTTTTAAAGCAAGGTGACGTCATTGATTACATCATCCACAAACATAAATTATACAAAATATCATAACAACAAAATTTTTTCAAATAAAAATGCATTAAATTATTTAATATTAAGAAGCCATAAATAATATTTAAAACACGGAATTTATGCTAATAAAATGCATTATTTTTTAAATAAAATGACAACAAAGTATCAGTTACCATAAATAACTTTTCCAGCAATAGGTTTAACATAAGTCGTATCGCTCGCCAAAAGAAATCGCCAAAATCATTGCAACCGTCTACCAAAGTAGCACTGCAGAATTAACATCCCACATATGAAATTTTCGATCACTCGTGCCAAACAAAAACTGGTGCACACCGAAATCAATGAGGTTCTACGCTTAAATCGATAGGTTTAAATCCAATAAAGTCCAAATTTAATGCGCGAAACACCAGAATGAGACTTACTATTGACGCTCAAGTGTTACTTAAAGATTCGCAATAGACGTCGAAGAAAAGGTTGAAGAAAAAAAAAATTAAATGGCATTCCGTAACGTTGTTTCCGATTAATGTAAGTATGTGATTTTGAATATGGCAAGTATCAAAGCTGCTGATTTATTTATGGCAGCTAAAACTATCCTTGAGTTTCTGGAGAAAATTTGTACTACTGAGTTTCCTTTACCCATTGAACGGTTTTGTGTACTCTTTAGCGCGTAATATCATCGCCTGATTGTATCATTGCTTGCCCCTCATCTTAAATAATTTTTCGGTATGAAAAACCCTTTTCCAGTTGGTCATACTGCCTTCTGCAATTTTTTACTGCTAATGCACACTACTACAGTACAGAAGTAATAACAACATTGAATTTCTTTTTAGAATCCAAATTTTTTAAAAAAATCAGTTTTACTACTAGAGTTGAAAAATAAAGGATTTTTCTTTATATGGTAGCTTATTCGTAGTTCAATCAAACACCGTTAAGCTAGTAAATATTTTTCTGCATCTTATTAAGTTGTCTTAGCTGAAAACCAACAGTTCAATCAAATACCGTTAAGATAGTAAGTCTTTATCTAGATCTTATTACGTTGTTTGAGCTGAGAACCAGTAACTGGTTGTTACGTCCTGGTCACCAGTGGTTGGTGTTCAGCGAGGCAATGTAATAAGATGCAGATAAAGACTTACTACCTTAACGGTGTTTGATTAAACAACGAATAATAAATACTACCATATTAATACCAAATGCTTCATTTTTCAACTTAAGTAGTAAAACTGATTTTTTTAATCAAAAATTTGGTTTCTAAAAATAAACCCATTATAAAAACTGTTGCCAAAAAAGATCATACAATAATAAGCAGAGGACTCATTTATGATCATCAAAATATTTGTGAGTTGCTTTTAAATTAATTATTTACATTTTATGCCATTAAAAATACAAATTGAAGCAAAGGCCAAAAATATACCTTACTTTTGTTTAATAGAGCTTGTTTGTTTGAATTCATTAACTGCACATTTTCTGTCATATGCATATTGGGATAAAAATTATTTGCACATGAAGTTTTAAACTTATGAGACAATTCTTCAAGATGTAAGAATTTTGCTTAGGGGAGAGAGAGAAAATTCAATATCTATATCTTGATAAAAGAACTAAATTGCATACGCTCGTTATATGAAAATAAAAATGGTGTTTACATATTAGCGCAGCCCCTTGGCGCAATTTAGCGATTTTTTTCTGATTAAATGAGCTATCATCATGAAGTTAATGAGCTACTGAGAAGATTTACTTTTCTTCCGTAAACAGTTAAATGTATGTAGTTTTGTGCCTTATGTTCCTACTGTTATTAAATAAATGTCCGTGTCCTGAAATTCTACTGTTATCGTATTTTCTGATCCAGTATCACAGACAATACGAAGCATATGAAAAAAGGTATAAACCTAATAACCTGCTGTTTGCAAGAAAAACCGCTGTTAATTAGTATAATAATAATGTGTTTACAAAAAGAACTGTGTATCCATAATGAAACGTTATAATAGAGTTACTATATCTAATTTTAAATTTGGGCACATATTTCTCTGGAATACCACAGGAACCCTTTGAGAAATACTGTCTTACTATTTTTTTTTCTTTGAAGGTTAATTTTAACGATCCATTCAATAATCAAGATCTCCATATTGTGAACATTACTTTTGAAAATGGCAAAAGCAAAATTCAGATTGTTTTATATGCA